TCAGATAATTTCAAATAACAATGAATTAGCAATTGCATTGGATATGCATAACAATCGATGCTTAAGCTTGTGCTCTACTGTTGTACAATAATACGCTTTTCTTTTGAAATAAAATTTTTAAAATATTTACCGCTTCTCCACTGCATTGCAGATATATTTTGGTCTGTTGTTGAAAATAAAGGCGAACATAGGAGACCTTTGGGGTTCTGTCGATGGATAGAAAATAGGAGGTAATGTGTGTATTTAGGCGAAAAGTAGACAATTAAGCGCATAAGTAGGCAATTCGGCGGATATTTAGGCGATAAGTCGGTAATTTGTCGACAAAAGGCGAAAAAGGGGAAAATCCGCATTATTTCCCCCGGACAGGCGAAAAAGGCGACATTCTGATGCGTTTTCCCCTTTATTTCCCCTTTCGCTACCAAAGCATTTACCCCTTTATTTCCCCTTTCTTCGCCTTTATTCCCCCTTTTTGTGTTGCTTGGGTAAGCGTAAGTTCAGCTTCAAGTATTTGGCTGGGCCAAAGAATGTCTTTGAGATATGGTTGTGACTTTTTTCTTTTTTCTAAATTCATAATTCACAGGACGACTACCTCAATTCTCAATAGCCGAACGAACGTGGCTTAAGGGAATAGTCCGTGCAATTGTTTCCATCTTCTACCTACATTTCAATAAATATTATTTTGTCAAACAGCTCACTTTATTACTTACATGGGAAACTGTTGAAGTGTTGAGAATGTGTGTTTGAATGTCAGTGAACTTTTGATTAAATGCACATTTCTTATGAATAAATTATAACCTGTTCCTTCTTTTTCAGATAATTTCAAATAACAATGAATTAGCAATTGCATTGGATATGCATAACAATCGATGCTTAAGCTTGTGCTCTACTGTTGTACAATAATACGCTTTTCTTTTTAAATAAAATTTTTAAAATATTTACCGCTTCTCCACTGCATTGCAGATATATTTTGGTCTGTTGTTGAAAATAAAGGCGAACATAGGAGACCTTTGGGGTTCTGTCGATGGATAGAAAACAGGAGGTAATGTGTGTATTTAGGCGAAAAGTAGACAATTAAGCGCATAAGTAGGCAATTCGGCGGATATTTAGGCGAAAATGCGACAATTCGGCGGATATTTAGGCGATAAGTCGGTAATTTGTCGACAAAAGGCGAAAAAGGGGAAAATCCGCATTATTTCCCCCGGACAGGCGAAAAAGGCGACATTCTGATGCGTTTTCCCCTTTATTTCCCCTTTCGCTACCAAAGCATTTACCCCTTTATTTCCCCTTTCTTCGCCTTTATTCCCCCTTTTTGTGTTGCTTGGGTAAGCGTAAGTTCAGCTTCAAGTATTTGGCTGGGCCAAAGAATGTCTTTGAGATATGGTTGTGACTTTTTTCTTTTTTCTAAATTCATAATTCACAGGACGACTACCTCAATTCTCAATAGCCGAACGAACGTGGCTTAAGGGAATAGTCCGTGCAATTGTTTCCATCTTCTACCTACATTTCAATAAATATTATTTTGTCAAACAGCTCACTTTATTACTTACATGGGAAACTGTTGAAGTGTTGAGAATGTGTGTTTGAGTTTCAGTGAACTTTTTATTAAATGCACATTTCTTATGAATAAATTATAACCTGTTCCTTCTTTTTCAGATAATTTCAAATAACAATGATTTAGCAATTGCATTGGATATGCATAACAATCGATGCTTCAGCTTTTGCTCTACTGTTGTACAATAATACGCTTTTCTTTTTAAATAAAATTTTTGAAATATTTACCGCTTTTCCACTGCATTGCAGATATATTTTGGTCTGCAGTTGAAAATAAAGGTGAACATAGGAGACCTTTGAGGTTCTGTTGATGGATAGAAAATAGGAGGTAATGTGTGTATTTATGCGAAAAGTAGACAATTAAGCGCATAAGTAGGCAATTCGGCGGATATTTAGGCGAAAATGCGACAATTCGGCGGATATTTAGGCGATAAGTCGGTAATTTGTCGACAAAAGGCGAAAAAGGGGAAAATCCGCATTATTTCCCCCGGACAGGCGAAAAAGGCGACATTCTGATGCGTTTTCCCCTTTATTTCCCCTTTCGCTACCAAAGCATTTACCCCTTTATTTCCCCTTTCTTCGCCTTTATTCCCCCTTTTTGTGTTGCTTGGGTAAGCGTAAGTTCAGCTTCAAGTATTTGGCTGGGCCAAAGAATGTCTTTGAGATATGGTTGTGACTTTTTTCTTTTTTCTAAATTCATAATTCACAGGACGACTACCTCAATTCTCAATAGCCGAACGAACGTGGCTTAAGGGAATAGTCCGTGCAATTGTTTCCATCTTCTACCTACATTTCAATAAATATTATTTTGTCAAACAGCTCACTTTATTACTTACATGGGAAACTGTTGAAGTGTTGAGAATGTGTGTTTGAATGTCAGTGAACTTTTGATTAAATGCACATTTCTTATGAATAAATTATAACCTGTTCCTTCTTTTTCAGATAATTTCAAATAACAATGAATTAGCAATTGCATTGGATATGCATAACAATCGATGCTTAAGCTTGTGCTCTACTGTTGTACAATAATACGCTTTTCTTTTTAAATAAAATGTTTAAAATATTTACCGCTTCTCCACTGCATTGCAGATATATTTTGGTCTGTTGTTGAAAATAAAGGCGAACATAGGAGACCTTTGGGGTTCTGTCGATGGATAGAAAATAGGAGGTAATGTGTGTATTTAGGCGAAAAGTAGACAATTAAGCGCATAAGTAGGCAATTCGGCGGATATTTAGGCGAAAATGCGACAATTCGGCGGATATTTAGGCGATAAGTCGGTAATTTGTCGACAAAAGGCGAAAAAGGGGAAAATCCGCATTATTTCCCCCGGACAGGCGAAAAAGGCGACATTCTGATGCGTTTTCCCCTTTATTTCCCCTTTCGCTACCAAAGCATTTACCCCTTTATTTTCCCTTTTTTGTTTGTCTGGGTAATTACAGTGTATGAGTACTAAGTTCATAGTAAGTAAATAATAAAATGTTATGGACAACTTAATATATTTGACGGAAAGAAACGTAGATAACTGAGGTGGTCTAACAAAAAATATACTAACGGAATAACGTCCCAAATTTCATTCGAAATTCTGGAAGCTAAGAACTGACTGTTTGTAGATATGGGTACATACAGGATTTCACTTAGACAAAACCATTATTTAAAGACCAGTGGACACTAAGGCGCAAAATTAAGGTCATAAGAGAACTAACAGGTGTTCTAAGTAAAAGATAAGATGAGTAATGACGAAAAATTCGTAAACAACTGGAAATGCACCAATCAACAGCTCAGCAATCCTTCAGTGACCAAGTATGGGAATATCTAGGAACTAATACACAAACGTTTGATAAAAACTATATTGTCTCTAAAACTTCATTGTCAATACAATAACACTTTTCTTGGGTCGAAAACATTTTTACGCCCTACTTTAATAACTTAGAATATCGTGTTTTCTGTGACAAAATTTCACATATAAAGATTGAGAATCCAGTGCTATATTTTAAGGGTAAGTCTACTGATCTTTTCAGAAAATCATTTTGGTTTCAACTCTTAAATAATTAGATTATGAACTCATCGTCAATTTTTATAGTGTATTACTGGGAACACTTCACCTTAAACATCTTGAAAGATTACTTGGGTCACCATACTCGTCATTTTTAGTGTAATATAAACTTAGATAAAATTATCATTCAATCCATTGTTGCGTAACGTCGACCAGCAGTCTTAAGACGAAATAGGTGACTAGTTTTCTGGAAATCAGTGGGTTCTAGTCGAATTGAAATACTCGACACAGGTTAATATCACTGATATATGAACCACTTCTCAGGAACGCTTCCTAACGCAAGGTTTATTACCCCGTACCAAAAAACGTGTTAAAGTCAACGGTTATACTCTTCGACTTCGCTAACCTCGCGTTCAGCCAAATTCTCGTCACACAATAAGCTGACTTGGAGAAACATAAATGGTCTGAGATTTGTATTTTGGCAAACTGTGAAATTAGTGTCCAAACTCGCAATGGTAAGCTGGTGCTTATTACCACTGAATAGAACTGCACTGGACTCAAATCTCGAGAACTTTTTGGGAAATCCATAGATCTCGAAATTTCGAGTGCATTTCAATCCTATTTATCATCCATTACATTGCCATAAAAAAGACCGATCGCTCACATTCGTTCTTACTCATTAGTCTTGCCATAATTACCAATTATCAGCATTTTAGTAACCAAACAGTAGTAATTTATATGCAATTCTTGCATAACTCATAATACGAGACTTCGCGCAAAAGCCCAAGGCACGTCACCTCTAATCTATTTGGTTCGATGTGATAGTTTACTTGTACCCCTTAAAATGTTTGTGTAAAAAAATAACGTTTGGGATTTCGAAATTGAGTAAGGACAGAACCTCTGCAACACTAACAGATGTTGGTTATTTTCGAGGTTGATTCATCAAGTTCTCCGAACTGCTCAAACCACCAATAAACGCATATAATGAGTAAGCGACCCCAAAACGCAACAGTTTGAGAATTATTCCCTTAAAATATTTTAAATATAAAATAAATACCAGTGATTTTTGTGTTTCCACATAAAAGTAACGGGAAAACTATCACTCTTAACTGAATTCATTTGTCAACAGATACTTTCTTCACTCAAAATAGAGTATGTGTTGAAAACATAAAGTACATGCTTTAACCATACAGAATTAAATAAGACATGTAATCTAGTTCCAAATAATAAGAACGAAGCTTTAATTCAAAAGCACATATAATACAAACTGGAAAATGATTAACAAAAGAATTAAGAGTCACTGTAAACTAGGTCAAAAATAAATACCTAATCTACACAAGATAGTAAAATTAAATTTTATTTTCATACAATACAGACATGAAATTGTTTTCAAAAAAAGAAGTGTTGAAAATACACACATGTACATCACACAAAGCGTTGTTGTCGAGTTCTCTATTATTCACCTTTTTCTTTATCATCTTTTAAATACAAAAATACAAAACTAAATAATATTAGACCAATCATCATTGATATAGCACTACCATAATAAGGATAAGCAGCCACGAGGAATCGTTCATATTGTGTATGAGTAAATGGACGAACAGGAACCTGTATGAAGATAAACAATACATTATTTAGGTTTCAGATCAGAATATTTGGGAGGGTGGATAGAGCAAAAACGAGAAAACCAAGAACTTACTTGTGTAACACTTAGTAGGTGTGTATAGCCAACACGATAATAATCAACTACGAATTTGAAAACTCCGTACACATCAGGTAGTTTCATAACAAGTTTGTATTCACCATCTACAAAAATGTGACGATTGGAAAATTCAGATTAGAAATATAATGCTGGTTAAATAAAATAAAAAAGCAACTACGTGAATTCGTGGAAGTACACACTAGTTGTAAGAGTTATATAACACTTGTAGGCCACATCTATGTCATATCGTCACAACTAGAAGAAAACTACCCAGATGAATACTATAGAAATAAAAATAAAAGTAACACCGATGGTAGCAAGAAACCAAATCCAAGGAATTCGATTATAAGGAGTGAAATAATGGATTCAAATTATAAAACATCAAAACCTAGGAATTAGAAGATGAGTAGTGAATAGATTTGGGACATTGGGGTGAATTGTGACTCTGCATTTTTTCATATACGTCAAATCAACAGGAAATTTGTATACATATACCATGATTTTATGATCCAACCTCTAGCATTTGTTTAACCTGGTTCAATGGCAGCCAGTACTGTGTCGGGATAGGTAGTAGATGAGACATATAACCCGATTACCTTAATTAATGAAGATTCACAACCCAATTAACCGATTTGCCATATTTATCTCAAGCTATACATTTAACCTCAACACTACGCATACCATAAGCAAGCAATGCTTGAAGGAAATCGTGATCGAATACCAGCCACCACCCAATCTTTTTTACCTCCGTGTGCCATGTTTTAAAACCATTAGGTACTACAGGGCGAACTCCTGAGTAATATACCCCACCATTAGGTGAGGTATGACACAGGTGTCATCAATCGGTAAGAACCGGACGGATTTTCCGTATCCATGCTGATACCAGTTATTGATCTATCAGGACTGATGAGAATGCCAAGACAAGTTTAGTTACCGATTAGTTTACACAAACTAAGCTCACGAAGTGAAATCCCAGGATTTTGTTGTACGATTATAAAGAATAGAAATCACTAATGAGAAACAACATTTAAATGTATGCAGCGAAAGCAGTAAGTTAAAATTGGGGAGGTTAGACTTAAAGCAATAAGCACTTGGAAAGGAATTAATTAAAATACTGGACGTACAATAAACACCATACACAATCTACACCTTACGTGTGTGCTTCATTAAAGGAGACTGACTGAGCAAGCAGAACATGTTGCAAAGATAACTAAATAAAGATCCAAAAGGTGATGCCGTCTTAACCTCGTGGATGAACGTAATTCACCAAATAATTTTTGTAAACTTGAAGTAGTTTACGATGACGTTGGATCGCGTTTAACACTTTAGGGACGTATATTTCGGTAAAATCTTTGGATAATTGGACTAGATAACTAATACGTTTGTACTGTATCTAACAGGTTGAAGCTTCATTCTACAAATTTACTTAGTTTGCTTTTTGAGCTATTTTGTACTTCTAAATCTCATTGTAAAAGCTGACGAAAATGTTCACAGCAGGCAAAACAAGAACTTAGAAAAGATGACTAAACTAACGATCATAATACACTTTTTACTAAAACGAAAAAATTTACACTATTTTTACTTAGAAATGGCGATGAACTTCAGTTGACAAAAAACACCAAGTATTGACTATCGACGCAGTAATCCCTAAAATCCTCCTTATGACTAGTTTATAATTTTTCTGAGATAAAAAGGCATAAGGTTACCTATTACACAAACTCAAACTACTGAGGTGAACTCCCAAAACTTAGTCTTCGAAATGATTCTAGACTTATTATTATAACTAGTGCCAAATCTTTTAAAAATCTTTATCCTTTTAGTCTTACTTTATGACCCCCAAAGTCTTCAAATGGAAGGGTCATAATAATCTTAATAGTTACTTATCGTTATAACTTGTATCACCTTGTGGATAGAACACAAGTACATATAATACTGCAAAGGTTTTTATGGACAAGAATTGTACCACAAGAGTCGACAATATGTTGCGAATTATTCCATAAAGTGAGCTTGATATTTGATGTAAGAATCATTACGAACCTATGTTTTTATATTTTGCTTCTGGCAGAAAATTAATGTCAAAAGTGGATTTACAGATATCTAAACAAAATAATGAGCTGACTACCATACTTTTGTGTTCCATTTTCTTTCTGATAAATGGATCAATTCGCACAAACTCCAACTGGACATCGTCTGCATTGAAAGGAACCCAATTCCCGTTATCGTCCTTTGTTTCGATTTTGATTATGTAAATAACGTCATCCAAAATTGTATACTGGCTAGGTGGAAGAGTTTCACCCACTCGGTGGTGTTTCACGTAAACATGTCGCAGCTGACCACGCTCACCCAAAACCCATCGCAACAGATTATCAGTAAGCATTTGGTTGCCACAAATCACACTCCTGTACGATAACAGACATTTAAAATGAAATAAGATCAAGTATGAGAAATAATTATCTCAAAACAAATCGGACTAACACAAGATTGGATACAGGCTAATGTACAAAACATATTTACCAAGAAAACAAAACATATAACTGATATAAAATACTTGAATTTCGATATTTAAAAGGTATTGTAACACATTCACGGCAATATTTCAGGATGAGTTTTCTACTGTACAAACATAGTAGCGCATAATTTATGCCAGGATCTGGAATACATGCCTATTCACCGACATCTAGATGTGTTAATTATTGAAATGTTGATCAAAACGTCTCAGGAGTAATGTCACATAAAGACGTAGAAAGTACATCACATTACTAAAACGTCTCTACCAAAACACTCATGATCGGACAAAACTTGAAGTATCATCTAAAGTAGCCATGTTGAATTATGTCTGTGATCAAAGTCTGGCAACGACTGGACTAAACCATCAGGTTTTAATTCACTGGTCAGTGAATGCTCTAAAAGACTGATGTTCTTCAGCCATTTGGAACGAAATTGATCATTTCTACTTTGTACCTGATATCTTGTGTACAAGAATGTTATTCAGATAGAGTAAACTCTGTTTAGCTGGTTAATTAATTTCTCTTATGATATTAACTAGAGGGTTTGCGCTGATAATAATGTCTTGCGAGGAGCCGTCAGTCAGTCACATGGTATCAGCTATAGACAAGGATTTTTTTCGACATATTGACACTAAAAAATATTCCATAACAGTAACAGATATCTTAATTCATAAACGTCGCCCAGTTCAGTCATGACTCTAGAAGAAAATACCAGGGTGAGAAACTAGTCATCTAGAGAATCTGTAACTGACACAGTCATGTTAAGTAATAATTTCAACAATGAATAAAGCCTTTTCAATTCTACGTATGGCGATGAGTGTTTAGAATTCATTTTTACACATCCCCCAAGTGCTGTTTTAGCATTGGCTCCGGCTACTGTTTAACTTTATAAATGTGGTTGAGCGTGTTGAACACAATGTATTTTAGTTCCGCCGAACCTAAGCGATTGGTAGCTAAGAGAACCTCAATATACTCTAAGAAAACTTGCACACTTAAAAAAAAGGTTGGCTATTTCTGGTATCACTAACCAAGACAAACGCAAACACAGTCTTCATCGAACTCAGAAAAGTTAGTTTTAGGGAATCCTAGTCAGTGATTTAGTCATTTAAGTTCATAGCTCAAGCCGCTTAAGGAATATCGTGTTTTATCTGTACTCAACGAATCATCTTAAAATCTGAGTGACCAAAGCTGATACGATAATTGTGACATTAATATTCACCGAGCATATAAGCTTTTCTCCAACTTACTTTTGAGACTCAGTCTCAACGGTAGATTCAAAAAACGAATTCGATAAGAAATCCAACGAACCAATGAACAAGGCACGAGCGTTATTTCTTGCCTGTAATGCTGTGATCAGCTGAGTGTTTGTGCCAACAGTGTTTGGATAATCTACTATGGTTTCGTCTGGGTTATAGCTGTAAGAAGTCTTCGATCCGTGTAAGACATCAATGAGCAAAGGGTTAGTTTGATCAGCTGCAATACTATCACAGTTAAAATATATACGTCAAGTTACCCTATCCCACGATATAACAATGGTGCGTCGACTTTCCCCCCAGTTATCACATTGCTTTTGACCAGATTATTTGCAGGCACAGTGATTAAAGAGTGCTATTGACATTAAGATATTATGAAAACCTACTAAACCATCATCCTTTTTGTCGAAATTGAAATGGTCGATAACAAGAGTGTTTTTTTCGTCAAACTCCACCCCGCATTCACTCCCCAACTCCCGAATAGATTCACCCACATTTGGGCCAGCAACTACAACGAGGTTTCCCCCATCGTCAACGAAATTGGTTATTTCCTTAACGCTTAATTCACCCCCAAACTCTAGTATTCTAAATTAGCGAAAAACTGGACGCACCGCTAACAGATGGGGCTAGAATAATTAGGCCCGAATATAAATATTCCCCAAGGTATTTTAGTGAAATAGATGATTCATCAGCAAGTTTTGTGGTCAAGTTATAACCCCTGTCTAATTCATATTATAACTTTATTTGAACTTACTTGTCAACATATTTAAAAAAGTGGAATGAGTCTCCTTAATATGAAAATTCTCCAGAAGCACCAGCAGATTTTTCGATTTATCTTCGTAACTAACCACAAAGGTTGAAAATAATAGCACCAATAAATGCAACCACATTATTTGCATAGTGACGTTGTACTGGCGCCAAGCTGACGTACGCAAAGGCCTATGTTCAAACTTCACTGGTTTAGTGACTTATAATGTTGTTAAGTCAAAGATGAAAAAAGGCACTTGAGACTGATTTTAAAGACATTGAAGGTAATTCTTCTGTAGAATGGTATACGAATCCATACGCTTATCATTCAGGAACATAGTGTATTAAAGGTCTATGACACTACTGAATCATATGTTAACGTTTTACCATTATTTTAAAGGCGTCAGCTGCTGGCAACATCACCATCAGTTCTGCAAGTAAAATTTTTGGCTCACAGAAACTAGCTTGAAAAGGACTCATATGTACTCTGTACAACCCTACTAATATTCAACATTTAGGTAATGAAAACTTCAGTGAATTTCTGGTATTTAGCTTACAAACCAATCATGATGATGAATCCATGTCGAAATCACTCCTCCCTGTAGTGAACTAGTTAGAGACAGTCAGTTTTTTTGTTCTAGTATCGCGATATTTGGAAGTGCCTAAACGTTCTGGTTCTAAACAATAAACTGTAATGCTCCAAGTAGAGGCTATGCATTTTTCACATGACGAAACTTTTAATAAACTCATTTGTATTTTATTTGTATACACGACAACAGATCCAATTTGTTTGTTGATTATACGTGGTGTTGTCTTTCAACGGTGGTTTAAATTATTTAAGTTACGGCCCATAAGGAAGAACAGGATGTAAAGGCAAACAAATCCTCTAAATAAACTGTCGTGTAAGTATTCAACTTTGACGCTGACCTGATTAGTTTAACTAAACTTGCCCTAGCTGAAGGCGCTCGGTTAAGCATCCGCTCCATACTTTTTGACATATCGATAGCTTTGAAGATATGTCTCCGAACTCCTTCATTTCCAAATTCTGACTTAATTTAATTTGGGATCTTCGATTATGATGTTACTGATAACGGAGTTCATGTTTTCCTAACGAATCAATTAATCCATCAGGTAAATGCTACTCTTCTGTCTATAAGACCAGGAGCACATAATCGCATAAATAGTTAGATTTAAGATCAAAACAGCCGTGTGTCACCGGTTGAGGAGTTAGAAACTCATCATGATAACAGGACAGGTAGTACAGTGGTGTGAATGACAAAGCTCTTATGGTGATATTTGCTCCAAACCATTTGTTTTTAAGCTGGACCTATGAATACTGAGATTTACATTTAGCGTGTAACACTTTGAGATGTTTTTCTTTATTTATTGGAACACAAATATTGGTAAAAGGGGGCACCAAATATATAAGCGCCACACAAAACAATGAGAATGAGAAGAGAAAAAATGTAAGGTGCGTATAGGAAAAAAAGGCGAACACTAACGACCAGGGAATAGTGTATGGTAGTGTAATATAAATTATAATAATAATAGTAGAAGAAGAAAGGTACATCCAGAAGAATTCTTTCAGTTAAGGAAGACACAACCACTTTTTCTAAAGGAAGCAAAAGGTTACAACAGAATCTCCACTGGCTTCTATTCTGAGCAAGATCCGGTAACGTCTCTAGCCGGTGTTGCACCATCTCTAGGACCACAACCAGGGAGTCCTGAAGTAGCGACATAGGCCAGTCTCGTACAGCTTTCTTTCATATCACGACACCATGTCATACACTGACCAATTCTCCGCTTTTTCCAACCAGTCCCGGAGTCGGCAAATAATGCACGACGTGAAGTTCTCTCAGCGACATTCTTAAAACATGTCCAAGCTGCAGAGCTCGGTGTTTCAACATGGTGACACTAATTGAATTATCGTCGCTCTACCTGAACATACGATGCCGAACCTCTGCATTGCTAACATGGTGTTGCCACTGAATGTCAGCAATCCTACGGAGACGACGATGATCAAACAAAGAGATTCGCCTAACATCCTCAACTCGGAGAGGCTAGATCTCACGAGCATGGAGCAAAACTGCTCTCACCGAAGGATTGTTGGTCCGACCTTTTACAGCCAGACTAACATCGGCATAAGCCGCTTTGGATTTTATTATACATGAATTGATCTCACCACTCATACCACCAGTAGCACTTGCGCAACTATCTAGATACACGAACTTCTCCAGTAATTCTATCTACTCACTACTCAAAGTGAGTGCAGGGTCCTGCCAGTCTTGTAAAAGCACTTTGCACTTCGAAGGTACAAAGCACATGCCATACCTACGGACACTAATTGACAACTGATTAAGTGCTGATTGAACGATTTTAGTATCATCGCACAGTAAAATAATATCATCCGCATACTCAAGGTCAAAGTCTTTCACTATGCAACAGATCCACACCTCCTTTACTTACATCCATCAGCGCTGTTTTCAGAATGTCGTCGATGGCAAAGTTGAAGAGGAATGGTAAGATTGAGTGATCATGTCTAACCCCACTGCTCGAATGGAACAATGGAGAAAGGTGGTTGTATGCCCTCACTCTACCTGAGGTGATTGTATATAGGGCTTTTGGATGTTAATAAGCTTCTCAGGCACACCCTACTTCAATAGATAATCCCGGAGAACAATTTTGTTCGGCGAGTCAAAAGCAGCCCTGATGTCAAGAAACACTACGATTGTCGGCCTTTGATAAGTATGACGGTGTTCTGAAATTTGGTGGAGGGTGAAGATATGGTCAATACGTCCTTGACCAGAACGAACACCTGCCTGCTTCTCGCGAGTCAATCTTTCTCAACTTTTGAACATTCTACGAGTACGACGAAAGCCAATAGCTTGGACGCAATCGGAAGTAGACATATCCCCCGATAGTTGTTACAGGAACGACGTGAACCCATTTTTAAATATAGGAAGAACTATCGACTCATTCCATGATGTTGGAATTATCAATACTTCGGCTATTTAAATCCCGTGTGAAGTTAAATTCTCTTGGCACGAATAAATTCTTCATAGTTAGCGGAAGCATTTTTGACTACCCTAATATTATTTGCGAACAATTCAACAAGCACCTCTCGCGATGCTACAAAACTGGAACTGAAAGCTCTATCATTACATTTCCAATGCTGACATCCAAACACCTATCGAAAATTGATTTTGTGCCCTCCAACATCCAGTGGTCATAGATGCTCTGAAAAAGTATTATGATGGTGGACCTTCCGGGATCCCTCCATCATTTGTGAAATATAGAAGTAGGGAATTTCCATTATTTTGTTTGAAACTTTTCAACGTGTCTATGGAATATGGGACCTATCCATCTGTATGGGAAACATCTCTTATCACCTCAAGATTTAAAACAATTAATTTAACATCCGTGCTCTCAATAACCGTGGAAGAAATCATCCACAAACAACTATTAACATTTTTACTTTCAGTTAGTCTGATTAGCCCATCCCAACACGGGTTTATGACTAAACGCTCATGCCTCACACCGCGCCTGGAACTTTTTGATCAAATTACCCAGAGAAGTCATGTTGGTCAGTCAGCGATAATTCTTTACTTCAATTTCAGTAGGGCTTTCAACAGTATTTCACACAAACTCCTTCCACCAAAACTATCTTCATTTGGCATACAGAATCCCCTTTCATCTTGTCTCAAATCTTTTTTAGAAGAACGTAGTCAGATCGTTCGCTTTGAAACTTGCTACTCTAGGCCTGTGAATGTAACCAGTGGGGTCTTACAAGGAAGTGTGATTGGTCCATTAGTCTTTCTCCTTCTTACCAATGACATGTGTTCCATCTTTCAGTATAGTAAACATTTCCTTTTTGCCGATTACCTAAAAGTAGTTTATTTATTGTCTGCTCCCACCACAGAGAGCTATATTTCAGCAGCAATCCAAGAAGAAATAAACAAGTTGTACGAATGGACTGTTCCGTGTAATTCGTCACTTAATGTTGACAAAAGTGGATTTATTCACATTGGCCCTGCCTTAACTTAAATCTGACTGTACACAAACATGCACTGAAACCTCTCAACACTGTTCGTGACTTTGGTTTAAGATTTAGCAACAGTTTGAACTTTTCTGAGCACATCATATCTCAAGTATCCAAAGCTAGAAAGCTCATCGAATTCATAATGATAAACTTCAATAATATCGAATCGAGATTATCATTATACAGAAAATGTATCTTACCCATTCTTGAATATGGTATTTTAGTTTACAGTAATTGTAGGTATACTGACCTCATTAAAATTGAAGGTGTTCAAAAAAGGTTCAACAAAGCTGTTTCGGGGTATTGCGACAACAAAGACTATCACCAAAGATGTAAACAACTCAAATTAGAACCTCTCTGGATCAGACGTATCAAATTAAACCTTGTCTTTATCTACCAGCTTATTAACGATATTTCCTACTCTTCGATTTCCACCCCCTCATACTCTATGATATCACACCAAAATCTACGCAATAAGTGAACTATTCTAGCAATTCCAAGAACCCACACAAGCCTACGCTAGAATGTTTCCGTTATTCGCTATTCAACCATGTAGAACAGACTGTCAGTGAACCTCCGTTTCAGTGAAACTACAACCAGGCTCAGAAGCCTCCTTGGTGATTTTCTTTCTGAAAGTGGATTGTGTCACCTATTAAATTTCAGTGCGTTTAATAATGATTTATACACACAACGTCCGTCATCCATCTAATTGACTGAAAAGCAAAGTGTAGCCTATGAAACTTTTCATGCCTATTTTATTTTATTTCTGTTCATTTTAATATATGAAGTCTGCCAATGTTAATATTTGTAATTATTACTATTATTGTTATTATCATGATTGGTCCATCAACTCATTAGATATTTTTTTCATCTCTTTTTTTCTTTCTATACTTGTTTTATTCCTAAACATCAAAAGTCTATGGCCAGAAACAAGTTATCTTACTTTACATTTAAATAAATTAACTCCTCAGATTCATTTCATCTTCACCACATGTATAACACATAGAAATTTGTATTTGATTATCCTTTGCAATTAAATATGACTTTCATAGCATCATTTTTTAATTATTATTTCACAAACATTTATACTAATATCAAGTTTTACTATGTATC